GATAAAGCCTAATGCTGATATTTCTTAGTATTATGTAATGGCCATTTTATCAAAAATCAAGTAATTCATCTCCATTGTTGAAATAATTTTCTAATCTACCAATTACCTACAAAAAATACCAGCATTTGTAAATTTACCAATGATTTTTTTCAATGCTGAAGCGGTATTTTTTTTGGACGATTACAATGTTATGCCAACTTGAAATCTAATAATTTCCTTTTTTTTTTGGCAATTCATCCGTTTTTCACTTTGACAGTTGGGCTTCGAGGGACTCATTTCGGGGTTAGCAAATCGTCGGAACCGTCCCTTTTGCTATCGTTTTAGTTCTAGACAAGGTCCTCATGATTTGTTCGATCTTAAAATGCTCGGAGCATATGTGCAGATACATAGAATCAAACTCTTTATCAGCGCCAGGACAAAAGACGACATTTTTTTTTTTTAAGATTCTTCTAACTCGAAAAATCGAAAAACTTGAGGGAGGTCTGACCTCTTTAAATTATTTTTACGCACGAACATGACTTAATACATCATTTCTAACATACGTCAGACACTCCAGCTTTAGTTCATGTGCTTTCAAATATAGGCACCCTTTCAAAGTGTTGTGGATGCACGAGCCACATACAATAACAAAAGCTCGAAAAAGTCAAATATTGCCGGTAAAAATGAAGACAACAGAAGAAAATTTGACTTTTTTAAACTAGCGCAATGTTGTTGTCAATAACTTTTCTCGCTTGGTGATTGGCTACTGATAACAAGTAACGGAGTTCTATTGGCTAAAAATTTGACAGGTTGAGTCACGTCACTGCCCTGCATAAATTTGTTTTGCAAACATCAAACAAGAATGAGAAAAACGGAGGCATTTTAGGGCTGTATAAAGTCGTAAACTACCAGCCCAGGCTAAGGTTAAATATTATTCCAAGGAAAGATTTTGGAGCCGCTATAGTAAACGAACAAGTCGAAGCAATGTACGGTTAAACTGTCTGTAGATCAAACTAGCCTGGCAGTTTAGAAGAGTTGTTAACCGATCATGATCAGTACGAACAGAAATCGTGTACGGCCGGTTGTTTACTTCTGTTCTCGACTTGTTTGTCGTCCTGAATGCCATTCAGCTATATGAGCTGTGTACAATCAAACTGAAAGGTGGGTATTATAGTCATGAAGTTTTAAATTCAACTTACCAGGTACTTACAAAGTTTCATAAAGTTTGTACAAAAAGTTTGTTTTGCTTTCGGAAAAAAGGATCAGAAAAACACTTAGCACTTGTCAAAAGAAAACTACCGTTATAAATGTGCTTATTTTTTTGTTTTCTTACTTTTAGCTTTCAAGCTATCTACGAACATTAAAAGCTCATCTAAATTGTACAATATGCCACTTGCACTTAGAGGTCACGTGACCAATGCTTCTTTTAATCAATGAGTTGGAATCTTGCTGATGCCAAACATTGAGAGAGCACATAAAAATTATCTTACACCCGAAATTCAGAAGCAACGCATTTAAGGGCGATATTTTATGGCAGTTTTTCAACAAAGTAGTATCTAATGATCTGTATTGGACGCCATGTTGGAGGGCATACTCTTGCCCTCCAACATGGCAGCCAAAACTACTTTTTGCTTATATCTTGTTAAACGTTTGATAGTTACGCTCAGATGTGCTGTAAGCGTTACCACATCATCTTTTCAACATTTTCCCGGAAGTTTAAGTGCCAAATTGGTGTTCAGAAAGAGGTAATTCATAATTTTAAAAATCAAATTTTGGTCAAGTGACCAGCTACGAACTTACTCATTTTAAGAAAATAGTGCGGGGTTTGAGAAATCATAGCACTATTATTTTGTTTAAGATATGACCCACTAATCGTTTTCCGTCGACAAAATCATATGACCTTCTTTTTCAAAAACGATGTCACATGACCTCTTAGTGCAAATGGCCTATAAAATAAGTTTCTAGCAAGTTGTCCCCTCTTTTGGAAACTAAGTGTCTTGTTTAGTTTCCTCTGCTTAAGCTTTTTGCAGAGAATTGAAACAGGATGCAAGTCTTGCATCAGAGCAAACTGGCTATTATTCTCAGAGAACAGAAAGTGAATCTGGCTACGAAGCTAAACTAAGCAAAAACACTGAAGTTCGGCATTCGTTCGGCAAATGACCACGTCTTGCATTAATCAAAATGTTATGTGTTTGCCCTCTTAGTGATGATTAAAATTAGCCAATCAGCGTGCGAGATATAATTTACTAGTTAGTGTAAAAAATATCCTTTCTACAGTTTTTTTGCATTTTGTTAACTTATGCTTGCAACACTAAAGAATTTCAATTTTTTTACTGGAGTCATAATGACTCAAAACGTTGTGGAATCTAGACTGACATTTATTTGGAGGGAAAAAAAGCCGATGAGCAAATGGCACGTTGAATTTACATAGTGAAAATATCCAAAATTTGTATCTTTTTTTCGTGACTAAACAATGTCTGACTTCCATATTACAGGTTTAGTTCACCGTGACGTTTTGTATACGCTTCACTGCGTGTTCAAATTACTACACTACGTTCAAAAATTAGTTCTGACCAAAGAAAGTTTAAGTTAAATTTTCAGGCTATCAGCCTGTCCGAAAATGTTCAGACGAAGCTTATTCTTCGTTTTGTTACAAAGTTCAAAACAGAGAAATCAGGAAGTAATCATGAGGTGAGTGGTGTCTCGAGGGACAACCAACCGTGTAACTGTGGTTTTCAGTGCTTATATTAGTTGTATTGACGATAGAAATGAACGACATTTATACCTAATTTAAGGGCGCTCATAGATCAAGAAATGAACGACATTTATATCTAATGTAAAGTCGCTCATAGATCAAGAAGGTTTTTTTTCCATATTTTCACTTTTCATACCGGTAGTAAATTATATCCACGGTATAACAAAATTTCCTGTATAATATAAATAGATTGGGTAATTGTCACTAATCTGCAATAATAATTTTTTTTCTTTTAGCCTAAAAGTAAAAGTTTAAGTCATAATAATATTGCAATAGAAAAAAGGAAGCGAAATAAGATTACACATTATCTTTTAACAGAAATTTAACAAAATGTTTAGGCAGCGATTCTGACATATTTTGCCATGTTTTCATTATGCAAAATAAACATCTGCAAAAAGGGGAAAATTAACTCCCGTAAATCTTGGATTTACCACTGAAAAGAATAACTCTAAGATTTTGAACGTGCCTTTCGTAGCCAATGGTTATCTGTATCAATATTTCCCCGTTTTTTTTAAAAAGAAAATAACAAAATCATTGGACCCTTTCATGGTTTCTGAAATAGACAACACGTTGGAACGAGAATAGTTATTTTCCTTTGTCTCGCGGAAGTCGTTCGTCTTCATATAACATAGGGTAACAAACCTATGTTGAGGTCGCTACGAAGGAGAAATATGGCAAAAGAGGATAATTCCCTTGAATCGCAAACTTTATAGCGAAACATGAAAGTAAGTCGAGGTTGGACAATTTAGAGGACCACTCTGAGTCTATACCCCAAACTAGAGGCCATACAATACCGAGTCCTTGAAATTTATTTCTTTTTTTCGGCGTTAAGGAGTATAACACGCTGCCTAGGCAGAATTCTAACGATCGTTGCGTGGTCTTATGCGAACTAGATGTTAATTATAATAAGTATCTTGATTACAATTTTCGGATCTCAGTGTAATTGTCATGGTCTGGGTAAATGAAATTCAGCGTATCAATATTTCAAGCATTCAAACGTGTAATTGTCTTTTAATACATTGGTTAATTTCTAGACGAGAACGTTGCTTCAAATAAACGCTATGAAAATTTTAATTTTAAGCAAATATGCAGGAACTATAAGCAACCTAAATATTCATACAAGGGAATAAAAAAGTGTGCGGACTTGATAAACTGAAAATTGAAATGCAAATCTGAACAACTTGTTAATGCCACATGACTAACTCGCAAATGTTTTCAATGAATATCTCTTGCTTCGTTGCTTGCTCTGTAAACTGGCCGGGGTGTCGTAAATCCTTCGCTATATGATATGTAACAAGCTACACCTCAGTGGGGCAAGATGAAATCTTGTTGCCCGCTTGTTTCGATGAAATGTGCGTGTTCGTAAGACTGACTTAATCATCTAAGTATGACATAGAAAAGGAAAAAAAACTATAGTTTTCTTGTGGTCGAGATTCGCCCGGGATTATCTTTAAATCAAAATATTAACATTTGTTGTGGCGGGGGTAAATATAATAATTTTTCGGATTCAAAATAATTCAATAAGGCTTGCATCATGGAAATGATGAAGTCGGCTATCAATTTCATGGCGCAGATCTTACCTGATAACTGTCCGTGAAATTTTGGACCACATAAAACAAATGATATAATCTTCGTTTGGTTTATTTTTTATTCAAGATTATAATTAAAAGTGCTCTAGGTTCACACAAATTCCCGTATTCCTCAGTGGGTTGTTGGGTTTTTTGTCTTTATTATATATAGTACAAAATATCCTGACAGATCAACTTGAAGCGTTTCGCAGTTAAAATTTTAAGTCCTGAAACTATTTTTTGTAAAAATAATTTTAGGACCTAAAGGAAACAGAAGAATAGAGGAACGTCTTCTCCAGCATTTTTCAATACATCGCCATCGTGGTAGTGGTGACAGTGCAGTGAATGGACTCACGTGCCTACTCTTCGGAGTTTCCGCATAAATCTTACAATTGGCTACCTCAAAGATCTTTACCCCCTACCCCCTCAAAAAAAGCAAATGAGATCTACTAAACGCGTAAAAACAAGTTGGACTATATTGCCACGTATTGCTAAGAGGTATAATGTTCAACAGAGTGGATTTTTCTTCATTTGAAGCAAGATGTGTACCGAGCAAGAAGTCCGTGTGCAATTGTTGTTGGCTTTCTTCTTCGTAGCTGCACTTTCTTACCAAGACGTTGAAGGTATAAAAGAGAATATTCATCTCTGTATTTCGTTTTTACACTTATTTTTATTTTTTTCCTTTTTTGTATTTCCCAGCTCTGAGTATCAAAACTGGAATATGCAATTTCACCATTACTACTCCTGGTCTGTTTGCGTGTGAAAAGGTTTCCTTTGAGAATTCTTTCAATGGCGGGCAGGATGTGAAAGTTTTCGTTTCCAAAAGCCACGCAACAAACAGTTATAGTGGTGGAAATGGCGCGGCTATTTGGGTGGAATCTGTGGATAATAAAGAATTTACAGTTTGTGTTTTAGAGTACGGAGATGGTTCTAGTGGGACTACGAAAGTGAACTGGATGGCGCTGCAATATGTTCCTGTTGGCGCTCAACTAGGCACCGTCTCGCTAGATTCTTGGACTACTGGAGAAAATTGTAAAAGGATCGCCTTTGAAAAGGTTACCTCTGTTTCCCCTTGCGTTTTCGTTAAGTTAATAGTTCTTACTGATTTAGGTATTTCTGTTTGCTCAAACCTAGACACAAGATTTCACTACTTTATTTTTTGAGCTTTGCTTGACTAAGTGGCTTTAACTTCCTCTTTCTTTATTTAGCTCGTAGGAGCTGCAGACTTTCCATTTGTAGTCCTCCTTATATCTTTAAGTCATGCGATATAACATTGTTGCATCATAAAATACGATTCTTTATTTGTTTACCAAGATCTGACATATATTGCTACCTCTATTTTCTTCCATCAAAGTTATCTTGCAATCTGTCCTCCACTTTTCTTGATCATTTCAATTTTTTTATTTACATTAATACATCTTTAAAAAGGTTTAACAATCTTCGTATTTTTGCTAATTTTTGCTCTAAAAAATTTAGTGAGAAAGTCTATATTTCGATTCCTTTTGTATCTACGTTGCCAAGTTCATGATTATCGTTTTATTTGCTGATTTGCAAATTCTGTGTTTAATTCGTAAAACTGTTCTTAGTTTTTCATCTGCACTAGGAAATTCCATCCAATTTGCTTCTTTCAAGTTCAAAATGATTTTTTCTGTCACTCTTCCATCGTTTTATATCATACCCTTGTTTGTTTGAAAAAGAAATGTAATTGATTATTTATTTTCTTCTCTTTTACTTTTTCAGCGTTTCTCAATCCCTCCGAGCATCTACGTTATAGCTCGTCACCAAATTCTCAAGAGACCTCAGGAAGCCTTGGCCTTGTGGGTAGAGGATGTACGCAGAGACCGTTTTAAGGTTTGCCTCAGGGAAACTAAGATTTTTGATGGTCTGCATAAAAACATCAAGGTGGTAAGTGAATTCCTTTTGTTACCTGTTACATGTTTGAAAGTAGACTCACACGACATCCAAGCGGTTCCTCCCTTGCTGCAACTTACAGGGGCTGTGCTTTAGCAGAACTCAGTTGCCCCTGAGCTCTACCTTTGCTCTTTGCCTACTAGGAAATCGTAGCTTTTTTTATAGAGATCCTATGTTGGATACCCTGTGATTTACACAGGTTCAGAGCAATGGGCTCCCTTCTCTTAGAAACAACCTTGACTTGAGAAAGAATATATTGATAACATTGTTAATACTTTTTCACTTGTCCTTCAGGACTGGATAGCATTTGTTAAGCTGATGACGCTGAATTTTACCTTGATCCATGGCCTTGTAACAACAAAGAATAACTCACCACTAAACAAGCAACAAAACAACGCTGTCTGTCAGGTAAAGTAACTAATGAACTATATATACTGTTTTGGTTTCTCAGTCACTTATATTCATAAATAGAAAGTCTTTCATAAGTTCATGGAGCTCTGATGTTGTTATCGTTAACTATTTAAACAAGATATATCATATACCGCATATGTGTAGAAAAACTTAAGAACGCTGATTCTTTTCTTGTTTTCTTAGATAATAAAGTTCACTGATGCTTTCTATGCCCCTCCGGTAGTAATGGTTTCACCAAGACTCAGTTACCATAACAACAACTCTCGTTTCTCGGCTTCCGCAACTTGTAACGCAGTTACTGCGTGGATTCAGGTAACAAATATGAAACTTGGAGCCATTTTTCTTAGTCCATTGCGTCCTTAGGCTGCCTTTTTATTATCTTTTCCCTTCTAACTTACTTTTAGAATTGTCTCTGTTTCAATTTTTCATGTCGTTTAAGGAGTCCAAACAAGTTTTTTTTGTTTTCTTTTTTCCCAATTTTTCCAACCAACCTGTGCACGCCACGGTTTCGCTTTCTAAACGACCTTGGTGTACCTAGTGACATAGTAGTTATGGTAAGAAAATACCTGATGATGCTTAATGATTGATAATCTGATACTTCTTATGATTGTGTCTAGCATACCTTTACAAACGAAACCGAGGTGTGTATGAGAAGATACAGCAATAACGCCAATTATAAGGACATCGTACAACTGGATTACCTGGTGATTGGAGGTACGTAAACAATATATCAAAACCTTGGTGAAGTCTTTATGCTGCAGTGGATCAAGTACATTTTGTGACATCAATGTTTTGAAGTTGTTTCATGGAGAGCTTTTTTTCTCTAATTAATGCTATTTTTTGTTGTCTCTATTTTTGGGGATTGTAGATTTGGTTGACTGAAAGAACATGTTACTACTATAATTTCGTAGCAATAATTTTGTGTATTCAAGAAAATGAGATTTTTTTAAGAAAATTTTAAAATCTACATTTCTTTGGCACACTGGTTCTCCTGATCACGAAATTAACAGGCTCATATGTGATGTCATAATACAAAAATTCAAAAATGAAAAACGGGAACATATGCATTCCTATCCTTTTCTTAGAGTCGCCAGTGTTGTTGCATCTAACTGCAATGCATCTTATTCACATCTTAAAGCAGTTTCAGCTTGTAAATTGGACGAAATTTGTGTAGAATCTATATTTTTTTTCTTGTATCTAAAGTCACGTGTTCTTTAATTTACGTTATAGTTTCTTAATATACGTCAGAGCCCCTTTGTTTCCGAGAGGCATCCGAGTGAAGACTTGCACGAATGGTGTGACAAAATGGCGGTAAATTTGAACGTGTCAAAAAATTCTCTTTAATAACATTGTGTTCAAAGCAATTTTTTTTTCCTCGCACATTCTTATAGTAATGTGCATTTTCAAGTCTAAAAAAAATAACTTTTTAAGTTATGGGCGCTTTAAATCTATCTGTTGTTATTTGCTTAATTATCTTCAGACTTGGATCCCTGCATAGACGTTACGTGTTATTATCACAGCTTCTGTAAGGCGTTTGGACCCCATGATGCACGCTGTGTATGTGTGGATAGCTGCCCATCTTACAAAGAACCCGTTTGCTCATCAAATGGCACAACGTACGACAACAGATGTTTGTTTGAAAGAGAAGTTTGTCTACATCGACTAAACTTAACCGTGCAACATCCTGGCAGCTGTGAAGGTTAGTACAGTTGTTTTTGAATCTGTTAAAAAGTGGTTTTTGTTTTTATTAGATTTCAGTATTAATCCCTTAGTGAATTTTTCGAATGAGCTATTTACTTACCCATGTAATCTGGAGGGAAAAACGGCGATAGATGCATGACTTTATGGAAGTACAGAATTTTACGTAATTTTGCTAAAACGTTTTGTCATGCACAGGAGCAATACTAATAAAAATACTGGTCAGAAAAAGTGGCGGATACACTTATGTTTTAAGCATTTTCAGTTAATACTCAACGAAAATATTTGTTTTTTTTTTTATATGTATCACTGAGGCAAATTTAAAACTGATTCTTCTCTCTGAGATTGTAGTATAGTAGTAGTGGTAGTAGTAATAGTAGTCGTTTGCATTCCGCACTCGGACGTAGCTCTGCCTAACATATCTGGATAACGTCCTTTCCTAGAACGTTGGATGTTCACTTTCCTTTCCTTTAGCGCTAATAGGCTTGACCAGTTGCCACCGTGTAGCTCTGCTCAAGATGCAAGTTCTAATCTCTCCATGACTGCTTGCCATGCTATTGACCTAATGCAGTGACAAGCGACACATTGTCCGCTGTGAACTTTCCCCTGGACTTCTATGGTTGAGAGTAACAACCCTCTTTATAAGAACCACTCATTTGCTGCTTTGTTAACATTTTTAAGTTCTGGGTAAATGCCCTTTGCTCCGCATGCTTGTCATACTAATCTATAGTTCATCTTGAAATGTGTTTTCTAGGATTTCCTTTTCAGCGTGGTCGTCGCCACATGCCACATATTCCATCCTTGGGCTACTCTCACTGTCTTGCCATTCATTTCAAACCGTTTGTGTTTTACCCTGACAAACCCATTCAAGTGCAGATAACTGTCAATCATATGGATACCAGTGACAAATCGTATGTCCATGACGCGGCAGTATCGTGGGTTGAAAATGTGAATAACGACGGATTCACTGCTTGTGTGATGGCGGCAGGATATAACGAACGAAAGTCGTATGCTAACGTGACAGTTGATTGGATGGCGTACCAAGGTGCTCCAGTAGGTGGCGTGACTGGTGAAGTGCGCATGTCACAGTGGTGGACTGGTACGACTTGTGCGATTGTCATGTTTCCTTCAGTGAGTGGCCTTTGTTGGGTTTTCTTGTCCTTTCCATTCTTTTCAAGATCATATCTTTTGAAACGCCTCACTTCTACTTAGGTCACTCAGTTAATAACAGATCGTCTTTAATATGCATCAGCAGTGATTTGTCGTTCTGGTGCAGCCGTACACTTATTACCAATATTCGAACAACGTCATAGTAGTACAAATTATTCGTTTACCAATTTCCAGCATATCACAAATGCCCTGGGTTCCTTTTTGCAAAAATACGAAATTGATTCCTGTTCGCGGCTTTCTAAGAGTTAAGAGTTGCCTAACTCGGATTTATTTTTCAGGGAAAATTCTCTGTGATACCGTCGGTATTTGTGACTGCCAAACATTATAATCCAGGATTAAAACGTGACGCAGCAAGCGTATGGATTGAAGATGTCACACAATCATCCTGCAAAGTTTGCTTGAGAGAACTGCAAAACTACGCTGGATCACACCAAGACGTTGTTGTTGTAAGTAACGCTAATCTCATGGAATCGAACGAACAGCGTTTTTCGTTGGAAACTAAGTGCAGCAGATTGGTATCTTTCTCCATCTCATCTTTTCGCTCTTTTACGCTTCCAGCAGTTGGTCCAGCAGAGATGCACGATTTTTTGCTTGAAAATATTTTTCCCTCCATCTGTTTCCTCTTCATCCGGCTTTGTCAACCCAACCATGTTATTGCTTTCTTGTAACCTAAGATGTCGGTGGCTGTTTTATATAAACCTTGTTGAGAGATTACCATTTTATTTTCGACGTTGACACAATTTTTTTGTAGTTAGGACGTGAGACTGAAAAAGAATTCTTTCTTTTTATTGTTATTTATTTATTTATTTACTTTATTTCAGAATTGGTTAGCGTTTTCATATCTTGACGAGCCTCCCTTCTCAGAACACAATTCGATTTACTTTTCGAATGATAAATCTCCCGCGCAGAGTCATTATAATGCCTTCTGCAAGGTCAGTACTAGTTCCAGTCCTTTCATTAGTCTTTTGGGTTTCAATTCCCGTCACAGTGCAGTTAATTTTATTGAATAAATTTACTATCAGAGAGCAAAAGAAAACGGTTCCCCTGTCATGTCTCTAGTGATGGTAGTTACATTTAATCAGTTTATCAGTCTGCCTGTCATATTTCAGTAAACATTTAAAATGAAAATGAAATATAGATCATAAATGCCCTTATGTGGAAAAAGTCTTTACCTTTTTATAAAGTTTTATAATTATGTAATTTCTTTTCACAGGACGCTACTTTTAATAAAGTTTATAACTCAACTCCACATGTTTTTGTTTCTGCCAATCATTCCACCAAAAATGGAAGTCAGAGTCCAATTCATAACAGCATAGCTGAGTGGGTAGAGGTATGTTTTTAGTAATTTATTTAATTATTTTCTTTTCATTTATTTTATGAATTTCTGTAACATACCACTTGCAACCACACTTACATGTGTTGTGTGGATGTTTAAAAACCTTATGAAAATACGAGTGACTGTAATTAACACTCTCTATTTTACAATACAGATAGCGTTCTATTGAGAATAACAGCTTATAGAATACAAAACGTGCGAAAAACAGCACAAAAGTTAAATTTTATCCGTTTAAATATCGATTGGGCATAACCCTTGGCTAGTAAAATGGCCATGAGTTATGGAACGTCGTTAAAACTGTGTTTAAAAAAGCTGTGTAGCTGTATAGCGGAAGGTAAGCAAATGTTGACAAACAAAAAGCAATGAGAAAACTAAAATTGATGTTGAGCAAGAGAGAATGAGCTAAGCGTGCAAATCCCTGTGCCCCATGATGAATATTTGAAAATATTGAAAGTTCGCACGCGTGCGATGAAGGTTCTACTTTCCCGTGAACGCGACATATTTCGCCTCCAAACATTTGAAGTTTGACAGCAGTTAAAGCAATTATCGCATGAGAGGTTTAAGTTGTTGACATGTAATAACGCGCACTCAATTGTCCTCTTTCCTCTTCCCTTTGAAGCCCTGTCATGCAAACTTGTTGAACAGGGTTGATCACTTCTTAATATGCGTCAAACTGAGAAATATGGAACGTCTTCTGGTCAAGACCTACCTGAACTGTTGTATAGTTTTTTTTCTGCTAGCAAGGGAGAAAATACACCGTCCGCCGTCTGTGTGAACTACTTAATGAGCTGATAAACATCCCTTTCTTGCAGTACATCAACAAGACAGGCTTTCGTGCTTGTGTCAAAGAATTATATGAAGCAAAATATGACCCATTGTCAGTAACGTACACAGTTTTGTCAGGTACTACTGCTACAAAACTAATCATAAACTTCAGTACTTACCAACTCTGTGAATAACGAAAAAGCAATACAAGCAATACACAAAAGGAATGCACAAAAACTGGAAGAAATAAAAAAAAAAATGTATTTGGGTGATGATGAAAAACAACGTTCATCCCCTTTTCCAAATAGATATTAATGTGTATAATAGAGTGCTTTATAATACTTGCAGTTGTCTCTCTCTTATGTATTGCCTTTATTTTGTCCTGAACAAAAAGCTTCTGCTTTTCCATTTCCTTTTTTAATCGCAAAACCGGAAATAACAAAAATGTTCGAAGTGCATAATTGCACCTAAAGCTATACATTTTAAGCAATGTCATTTTGGACTTCACTAATTCCTACTTTGTATACGCGCAGACATCTGTCCATCTGGATGGGATTACTTCAGTGGATACTGCTATTTAACAAGCTCTGTATGCGCTCCTTGGGTGACTGCTGTGTCCAACTGTTCAGCAATGAACTCACATCTGGTAACAGTGCACAACCAAGAAGAAAATGTCTACCTTCAGCACCGTCATAATGGAGAGCGATCATGGATTGGACTTAATGACCGAAGCGTTGAGGGATCATTTGTCTGGACCAACAAGGAAATAACCAGTTTTCGGTTCTGGGCTCCGCAACAACCAAACGACTGGAAAAACGAAGACTGTGTTCACACTCTGGGTGCCAATGATGGCTACACTTGGAACGATGTGTCCTGCGATAACTGCTATAACTTTACTTGTGTTCAAGGTAAAAGCGGTCATCTGGTCCGTTTTACAACTTACATTAAATGATCTGTTAGTTGGCACCTAAGGTAATCTTATCTTCTGCAAAGGGTTGTGGTTCACTTCAATATTTTATGCTAGAAATGTAGCCAAAACGACAAAAAAACCACCCAATGTTAGCGCGCATGAATGTAGTATCATCTTTCAGTCATAGTTGGTAGAGAAGACTGGTTATGAAAGCTGGCAAACGGAATAAAAGCTTAAGATTTTAACATAGGTGCTGCAGTTTATGTTGGTAGCTATCTTCTTTTTTTCTCACAAAATGCGAATGAATAAAGTTAGGCAATGTTTTTATCGCCTGTGTACAGACCCCCCTTGCCCTTTTTGAGGGGAGGGGGCGTCCGTACAGAGGCTACGATTTTATTGGTGAAAAGGATCAAAATGATAGGAATGCTATTGAACTTTTCACAACGTCGGATGAGTCCAAAAAAGGTAACCAAAAAAAACATATATACTGGTATAATAAAGACGTTTGTAGGGCTTCGAAGGCACTGCACTTTTATGAACTAATTTTCAGTTTATGTTTCAAACCTGACCGACTATGTCAAGGTAAAAATGGGCTCGCGACCGAGCTTATTAGACAGTTGTTAAGGTGTCATAACGTGAGGTGGAAGCATTGTGTCCAGTGTTTGGTAAAATTCAAAGAAATTTCGCTTTTTCTTTTCAAGAGTTTTATGATGAATTCAAGTTGAGAATATCATTTCAGAAAATAAGCACTTCGCAAGGTTATCAACTATAGAACATGTGAGTGAATGAAACACCGTGATTTCTTTTAGAAATTGACGAATGCACTACTAACTATCACAGATGTAATGTGAATGCTGCTTGCCAGAATACTGCGGGCTCATACAAATGTACTTGCAAAGCTGGATACTCTGGAAATGGCCGCAAATGTGTTGGTAAGTACTGAAGTTTGCTATAAATGTCTTCCATATTTTGCCCTTTTGTTCGCTAACTGATCAACTTAGTTGTCCTCTGTTCTGATTTTATTTATAGACTAAATAAATATGCTTTATAGTGTATACACAGAACTGTTATGATTTTTTGTGGTCGAAACTTTCTAATTAGCCCTTAGTGGGTATTTAATCGGAATTTTAAGCAGTAAAAGAATATTTGCACTAATGTGTGGAACAACCTTTTTCACGAATTTTCATTCCTTCAATCAAAACAATTACGAACTTCCGTTTGGGGACATATTTGTTTTGACTTTAAGAACTTCACTGGTAATAACGTAAAAGTTTGAGTTGATTTAAAAAAGACTCGAAAATGAAAATTTCACTTTTAGGCCTCAAGGTCGCCCCAATTCAGACTGAAGGCAATAAAAAGCCCCCAGGGGTCTGACATGTCTGAATGAGGAAAGTCGGGAGGAAATGTCAAGGAAGGTATTACCTTGTTGTTTTCGGCGCATGAAATCAGTGTTTTATAATTTTGTCTTTGTTTTTAGAAATCGACGAGTGTAAGAGCAAAACCCATAACTGTAACAAAAATGCGTTATGTAACAACACTGAGGGGTCTTTTACTTGCACCTGCAATCGCGGTTACAAGGGAGATGGAAAGAAGTGTAGAGGTATCTATCTAGCGCTCTTTAAAGGTGGCTTCCAGCGTCGCGTAATTTTTACGTGCGTAGGCTCTTTAGTTTTAAGTACGTATATAAAATAAGTGCTATGTATCACAGGTTGTGCGTAAACGTAAAACTTGAACCTGCTCAACTTTTACACGCGGCCTTTCATACATTGCCTCCAGGGCCCTGACTACCTCTATTATATTTACGCGCGTACATTTTACGTGCGTACGCACATAAATATTACGCGGCAGTGGAAATCCACCCTAAGTTCTTGATCACCTAACGATATAGTTTTTACATCCAGCACGTGCGTTCATTCCATTGCTTGTATTTATTCTCCCTGGCACCGGTTGTTCAAACGCTGGATAGCGCTTTGCATCAGATAAATCACTACACAGTGGATAAGTATTAGTAAAACTGACTGCGCTGTCTACTGCATGGTGATTTATCTAGCGGCTAGCCTTATTCAGCTTTTGAACAAATTGTCCAGGTAATTTTATAACACTACCATAGCCACACAAGCCGTCGCGTTCATCTGTAACGTAGATTTAAAAGAATAGAATGTAAAGGAAGAATTATCAGTTTACTTGCCTTCTAAAGGTAAAATAAATGCAGTTTATGATTTTCATTTAGATATCGACGAGTGTACAAGCAAAATCCATAAATGTGACAGAAATGCGTTATGTAAGAACACTGAAGGGTCTTTCACCTGCACCTGTAAACCCGGTTACAAGGGAGATGGCAAGAAGTGTAAAGGTAAATATCTCAGTAGAACACGCAATTATCGCATTCTCTGCTTTTAATTTATTAGACTGAGGCAAACACATTTGTCGTGGATTCTTAGCTGTGAACTGGAATTAGCCTACAGTACGTACAGGCTTAAGCCGGGAAATCTGTTCAAATGCATTATTATTTTTAATAATTTTCCTCCCTAGTAGCCTCAACTCTAAATTACTTCTACTTCCTGCAACAGGAATCACTGCTCATCTGAATGAATAAAGCAAGATCCGGGAAGCCGTTTACCTGTATATTATTAGTCAGATTTTGAGTCTCTTTTCACAGTTGATCTCTAATGTTGATATCTATTTTTTTGTAGCGACACGCGGGCTGTTTTCCTACGATCCCGCTCAATCCTGCAAAGAAATCAAGGACTTAGGTACCTCCAATGGCGACGGGGAGTACTGGATTGACCCTGGAAGGACTAATAGTCCTTTTAAGGCATATTGTGACATGACAACTGACGGAGGTATGGTTTGAGTTGAAGCTAGGGGAAACCCATTTTTTTAAAAAGTAAGTTCAGGAAATCCTAAATACCTACCTTGATCTAATACCTAAAAACATGGCCAAAACAGCAAAACTACATCTCATACTTGAAGAATATCTTCAAGACAAAGCATCCCCTTGGATCCTGAATTTGCCGAGGAACAGGAACGTGAAATCCATCAGTTTATCAATTTATCTTATAACTGTCAAGTGTTACCATGGAGAAGTTGTTTGAATGAATAATAATATGCATTTTTTGCGCCAAGCCTCGTTTTAGTATCAATTTCACACTAGCAAGCGCCCAGCGAGTCACGAATTTCTTAGTCTCAGGTTCCTAGTTCTGTACAGTACCGCAAACGATCCTCAAAGTAGACCGTAAATGATCCCCATTGTCGACCGCAAGTGATCCCGTGAAAAGTAGAGGACTGGAATACTGTTTTAGGCATGGATGGTGAATGTGCTGAGAGTTTGCACATCGCGTAGAACAATGAATAAATAAAACTGTTTCTTTTGGTACTTTTTTCTCCTTTCGTTATTCAAGCATTTGATGTTTCGTTGCTGTGAAGATTTAGGACAGGAAGGACGTTAAGAAGGAAATTTTTCTTTCATTTTAACGCCTAGGAATAGGGAAATATGACCCCGGAATATGATCCCTGTATTTATCACTCTGTACAGGTTTTTGGTTTATTTCGAAATACGTTTAGCAACTTAGCCTGCGAAGCGCCAGACGCATTTCCGGAAATGCGTCTGGCGCTTCGCAGGCTATTAGCAACTACAACTCGTGAAAATGTTGCGCCTAGGGGTAAGGACCCTGTCGGCGCAAACCTGTATATTCATTTTCTGTGTCTTTACTGCTGGAGACACAGACAGTTACAAAGATACAACATTAGGGAAAGAGAAACGAAGGAACAACGATTAAGGGGAAAATTTTGTACCCATGAGCAAAGAATTATCTTAATGGGGTTCAGTCTACTAGAGCGAGCTTTTATCTGGTTTTTTTTTTCGGAGATTTTCGCGGTTACAAAAGTTATCATTTTCTAAAGTTTATACGAAGTATCCAAAAGATCGGATTTGAGCAATTTTTTCTTATTGCATCTAATTGTTCTACAGTATGTGAGTTTTAGTTCAGTTAAGCTCAGGAGCCTATCAAATGGGCTCCTGTTAAGCTTTAATGTTAACCAGCAATTAAGCAGAGCTATTGTTTTACTGGTTGCATTTAAGTTCTTTTTAATTTTTGTTTGCATTTATTTGTGTAATGTTCAAGGTTTCTTTCTTTTTCAGTCTTGGCATTTATTTGTTAAATTAATTCAGTTGAATTAATTCGTTTTGTTGCGATAATAAACGTGACACGATGAACCAGTAACTTAAGTCCAGGCCATTCTCGGATTTTCCTCTCGGGATCATTTGCGGTCGACAATGAGGATCATTTGCGGTTCATTTTGGGGGATCATTTTTGGTCTGAGGACCACTGACGGTCACGCGGGATCAGTTGCGGTACTGTTCAGTTCGCCTGAGTAATATTGTAAAACATTGATATAAAGGCTCACAGCGGGTAGCCTCCCAAGTTTTTAGGGGTTCGTCACGCGTTCCTGCCCATGGGAGGCTACATCTGGGTTTCCGCCGTGTGAATTATTTTGAACTGAACATTACTGCTTGTTTTGGCCCACATGACTTGATAAACCAAATGCAATGATAAACATTTATCGAATTTCAGGGGGATGGCTTCTTGTATCGAACGTTGTTTCGCACGGTTCATCTCCCACTCAGTTGCCAGTTAAGACATCGTACCGCGGAGTAAGCAGCAAAGAGATGGTACTCACAAAAAGCGCCATGAAGGAGCTGAGGAAGCACTTGCATTTCACTCGGATAAGATTCCGCTGCAAAAAAAGAGGAGGTCGTACATTTCACATCACCACGGCTGCTAACAGCAAAGGTGAGGCTGCTGTGAAGTACTTCAGTGGTGAGACAGATGTGATGCCTGCCTCTTGCGGCTCGTTTGTGATCATGAGCAATGATAACTCGCGGTTAGCAAGAACCTGCAAGGATTGGGGATACCAAAGAGGTTCCTACAAAGTTGGCAAATGGGGGCATGAAAGAGATCAGGATCGATTATACAACCACGCTGCTTTTGTAATGGTAGCTTACCACTGGCTTCTTACACCATCTAGCAGGTGGGAATGCGACGATTATAATGTGGGAGTGTCCCATGGCGATTTTTGGAAAGTCTTTGTGCGATAGGAAGTCACCATAACGGAAGTCGTCCTCAAGGTTTAAGGGTAGTTTTGTTTTTTAAAGATGCTTAACGTGTATTAGGCATTATTCAACACTATGATCTAAGATAAGAACTAGTAAGAGGTACTGTAATAGCCAGGAGCTTATGGGCTCCTGAAAAGTCATATGAGTGAAAGGGGAATAAAATAACACCCTGTATTAAATGGTATGGTACTGGATCAGGAGCTCCTGACTAGATACAATAAAAACAAAGAAAGTGGGTAATTCAACAGTGTCGGCTTTCCTTCTTACCCCCAAACCATAGAAAGATGCAATTTAACGTAGAGAGCTTTTTACCTAAATAGTCTGCTGCAGCAGTTAAACTAGCTGCATAGCATGCTTGTTATTATATCCGTGTTCCTCACGTATTTCCAAGGGGATTCTCCATTCCCTCCCCCACCGATCAACAGGACAAAAAGTAAGTGATAATCAAGATTGATGAAAAAAATCCCTACCCTTTCATATACCTGAAACCTGAAAAAGGTGCCCTCTTCGGGCGGAGCCTCCCCGTACAGGCCATTATAGGGAGTACCCCCCGGATCCCCTCTCAAGTGTGCTCTTGATATACTGTGACTCAAAAGAGAAAAAAGAGACTGCTCTCAGTCTACCAACTCCCATAAGCGACACATCTAACCGAAACACCAATTTTTTTTGCACAGGAAGCCCTGTCGTTAGAATTCCTTGTAAACGAGCACTATTTAGGGTGACGGTTACGTAATTTTCCGTTCTTTTAATCTCTTTAAGCGATCACTAGACACACTGTAAGATCTCTAAGTTCGCTGTATGTACTACGCTGCTCAGAGTATACGAATACCTACATGAATTAGTGACAACACGGAAAAACACATATCATAACTTTACATGCAATAAGTTCTCTTCCAAAAAGTAAGTGTATCGCCAGTTTCGTCACCTCTTCTCGAAAGAGACAATTGCAGTTTGACTTTCGTAAGCGACCCACAAAATCTTTGCATTTTGGCTGGTGGCCTTACGGATGGTTCGACTGTAATTGCACTAACCTAATAATAACAATCTTTAATAGGATGCTCCATCACAAGAGTGGTTTACATAGAGGTCCTAATTACGAGATGTATATTATATAATACAATTAAAATATAAAAAGGTTAAAAAAAAAAAAAAAAAAAAAAAAAAATTCAAGCTAAAATCGAGTTACAGAAATAATTAAAACATACACACTACAAGTACTCAATTATAAAAAGCAGAAAAAAAAGACACTTCTTAAAAATTGGAAAACTTGCTGAGTTTCTTACAGTTCTCTCTAATTCATTAAAGTCTTTGAAACAGTGGTACCGCGAACGTTGTTTTCCCCAATTATATTTAATTTTGGGGAGCTTGATAGTATCGTTATTGCGCGTATTGTAGGAATGTATATCACTCTTTTTACAATGTCCAAAGAATGATTAAGTTGGCCATTAATACACTTGTATGCATATATACATCGATGACATTTCCTACGTTCTTCAAGATTCAGCCATCTCAAGACAATCAATGCATCGGTGGATGAGGAGTGAGGTGATCTATCTAATATCAACTTAGCTGCTTTGTTTTGGAGAATTTGCAATTCCTTCATAAGTGAGACATTGTCCTTGTCACCCCAGACTAAATCAGCATAATCAAAAATAGGTAGCACTAAGCTATTATAAAAAAGTAACCGGGCATCATAAGGTAAATAATACTTAATCCTACGTAGAAGACCAAGGTTTTTATTAACCTTACATGAAATATACTCAATATGGTCGGACCATGTGAAAGTTGAAGACAACATAACTCCCAAATATTTAAAACTACTTACAGAATTTATATCAGTGTCAAAAATAGATAACGTGAAAGAGGAAATACCAACAAGTTTCCTATTACTGCCTATAATCATGGATTTCGTCTTAGTAAGATTTAAAGTTAACTTATTTCCATGTAACCACTGGGCAACTTTCAAGAGATCATCATTCAGTGCCTCTTCTAACAGGTGTGGCTCTTTAGCAAAGTAGTACAGGACCGTGTCATCAGCATACAAAGTCACTTCGCAATTCTTTATAACCAGCGGAAGGTCATTAATATAAACCAAGAAGAGAAGCGGTCCTAGAATGCTTCCTGTGGCACCCCAAAGGTCATCGGGAGAGGGTCAGACACAGCATCGCTACAGGCAGTCCGCTGTTTACGATGATTCAGGTAAGACTTGAACCACTGTAGAGTGCTGGGCGAGACACCGATAGCCGACAATTTAGATAGCAAGATCGTATGGTCAACGGTATCGAATGCCTTGGTCAGATCTAGGAACACTGCACCGCACAGTTCTCCACTCTCCATATGCAATAGGACCTCATCTGCAAAACTGGTGAGAGCCGATGTTGTAGACAGTTTGGGACGGAAGCCAAATTGTTTGCTTGAAAGGAGATTATTTGAATTCAGAAAGTCATAGAATTGGGAATGGACGACTTTTTCCAGAATTTTACTCATTGTTGGCAGAATAGAAATTGGGCGATAATTTGACGCATCTCTCCTATCTCCAGTTTTGAAAAGTGCAGCCACTTTCGAGCATTTCCATATTTCAGGAAAATTGCCAGTGCGAATAGAGATTCAGTAACTTGGTGATCGAGGGACAAATAGCACGCGCGCCACACTTTAAAAGTCTCGCACTGATGTTGTCCAAGCCAATAGCTTTATTTGTCTTTAGAGAAAGCAGATGCTTGAGTACTGTTTTCTCATCAACTTCGTCAAGCGAGAAAGACTGTAGCATCGTGGCCGATCTGACTGGGAACATAGCAGCAGCTGATATTTTATTTGCAAGACTTCTGCCAATGGATGAGAAATAACAGTTGAGCACGGATGCAATAGAGGCTGGGGTGGTGTGTTCAACACCATCAACTACAATACATTGTGGGCTCGAGGATTTAGTCTTGCGCGAAGACACCTCATTCACCGCCTTCCAGATCTTTCCTGAATCCCCTTTAGCCTCTAAAATCAAGTCACAATAATACTTGGATTTTGCTGCCTTGACTTCACGATTGACCCTATTTCTTAACTTTCTATAGCGAGCCCAGTGAAAAGCAGAATTGGTTTTCACGGCTTTACGATGGTGAAAATCACGATCCTTCATCACCTCACTGATTGTATCATTCAACCACGGGAGCGGAACACCTCGTATTCTTCGCCTTTTCACGGGCGCATGCAGGTCAGCTATTTCAGAAAACAAGTGATTCCAAATAAACACGGCGTCGTCGATGTCTTCCTCGTTTTCAATGATGTGCCATGGGACGTTATTCAAGTCCGCTAGGAAGGTGTTCGCATCAAAGTTTTTATAAGAGCGGTATTCAATTGTCTTCGGTGGTGCCTTAATTACACCTGCTTTTAAAACACAATAGACGAGGTAGTGATCACTCAGCGAAACAGGAACAACACCGGAGTCATTGATGCGGTGATCATTGTTCACTAAAATCACGTCAAGCAAGGATTGACAGGTTTCCGTCACTCGGGTGGCCTCAGTAATGAGTTGCGTAAGATCGTGTGAAGTTGCAAATTTTTTAAGCTCTTGTTTTTCTTTCTTTCTTGAAAAAGGCAGCATATTTGCATTTAGGTCGCCAAGAAGCACGAAATCACATTTTTCCAGGTTAACTTTCGTCATAGATATCTCCAAGTTTGAAATAAAGTTCGCAAAGTCAAAACCGGGGGCTCTATATGCACAACAAATCAATACTGGGCGACATTTAGTGCGCGATAGCTCAATCCATAGACATTCATTTGCGGCTGAGTAAAGATCATTCCTAACACGAAACGGCAAGCCTTCCTTTACATAGATTGCTACTCCACCAAAACCTTCTTTGGCTCCAGACCTATCCAGGCGATGCAATTATATCCTGGAATAATAACATGGGAGTCTTCATAGCAGTCATCCAGCCAAGTCTCACTGAGTGTAAGAATATCGATCGTTCTGTTATCCAAACCCTCCAGGCGCAGCGAGTCTGATTTGTTCCTCAAGCTTCGAATATTTAGATGAGCAAGCCTCAATCCTCGTGAACTCCTAACATCCTCCAAACTCCTATATCCAGGGTTGAGTTCAACATCTCCGGCAAGCGCTATTAGAGCCAAGGCTAGAGAGCCATGAAGTATAAGCTTGCACGTAATAAAGCCTTTCTGGAAAGCTCCGACTGCTTGGTGTTTTGCTGGACGCCGTGCCAGAGAGTGAAAAGATTGAATTTTAATCCTGCAAGCTTCTTGGGAAGCAAAATATAGGTTGCTACTATTGCTTAGTGGCTTCGTTGATGATTTGTTTTGTTTTATGCCATTCAAGATAAGAAACAGGCAGAGCAGGAGGCCAAAATTAACGGACAACGTGCTAACGCATCCAGCCATCTTGATATGCAAATCAGGACGAGGGGCAAAACCTCCTAAGTTTGAGTATACACTAGGTCGCCATTACAAAGACTTGGAAAGATGGTCACCAAAGTTGTATTAAACAAAGATTCTATTTTCCTGAACAGCGGCTGGAAATCGAGCCTAAGTGTTACAATGACATCAGAGTTGTCATAATAACGAAATGACGTCATTACCTATTTTACTTGCACATGAGATCTCTTGATTTGTAGCCTATTTCTTGATACTTCTTTCCGCAATTGATAATTTCAATATATGAAATTCATGAACCAATTTAATGACCAGCTCCCAATTGTTGCGATGATCCTCTTGCATTTATTTCTTCACCCTGCAGTTTCAATATATGAAATTGATATAATTTATTTTTCCTGGGTGTATCTCCCAGTTGTCTTGCCATCTCAATTGGTTAGAGCCATGCACCGGTGTCTCAAAGGTCAGGGTTCAAATCCTGGCAAGTCTGGCAGTCTTTGACTGCGATGATCTTCTCTACATCGATATGTAACAGCAACCACAACAAATACGTACGTTATCGCAAAAACCTCGCGAGCCTAGAAAGAGTCAGCAGTGAGAATAAAGGGAAA